CCGCCCCCTCCGCAGCCGCTGCCCCGCCCCCTCCGCAGCCGCTGCCCTGAGACCGGCGCGGCTCGACGTCTTTCCTGAGGAGTCTCCACTTTTCGTCCCTCCGCCGAAACGACGCGGGTGTCCCGCCCCGTCCCGTCCGACGGGTGCTGAGCCGCCAGTCGCCGATTCTGACGCGGAGCTTGTGCACTACCCCCCAGATTAGGCCCGTACGTGTGGGTAGCCGGAGTTTATCCTGGAGGAGTACGGGCTGCGCAGGTGACCCAGTGGGCTTGGAGTGTGTACTTTGAAGGCTGGAGTAGACGTTGGCCTCTAAGGATTTCCAAGACCCACTAGAAAGAAGTTTAGGGTACAAATGAATTTAAGTGGTGGATATAATTCTGTAGCATTATTTATTTAAGAGCGAGCTTAAGCGGGGGGAGGGGCAGAGACAGAGGGGGGTGGGGTGGGGGAGAGAGAATCCCAAGCAGGCTGCCTGCCCAGACAGCAGGGAGCCTGACTGGGGGCTTAAAATCGTGAACTGTGAGATCATGACCTGAGCCAAAATCAAGAGTTGGATGTGTAGCTTCTATTTAAAACGGGTGTTTTTCACCTAATTAGTAAAAGGCAGTTTGTTAAAAGCCAGTGTTTTTAAAGGTTGCATAACATTTTGGATCTCTTTGTGTTGGGGGAGATTTTTAAAAGATAACGGCTCTCTGGCTAATAATCTTTAGAACAGGGTAAAGCTGATTGCTAGTGAAATTACTTACTTCAGTGCTATTATTGCCTTACCTATCTTTAACTTCTCTCTTATCTTTGGTAATGTTTTTTAGAACTTTTTCAGAAGAAAGAAATGTTTTTGGAATTAATTTAGGAATTTTTTTTTTTTTTGATGCCATTACTCTTACTAGCTAAGTATGTTTTTTAATTGGTAAAAATTCTGGAAGTACTTTTTTTTTTCTCTACTCGCCTCTTTTTTTTTTTTTTTTTTTTTTTTGCTCTTGTATAATTTAGCTTTCACGTTCTTGCAACATTTCCCACCCTGTCTCTGAATCTTCATTGCCTCTCGTTTTCCAACAACATAGGGTTCCATAATATGTTTAGTTGAGAATGACCACACGGTTATTGTGTGTTAATACTGTCTAGGTCTTTGGTCTGCTGGAACTTTTCATTTGCTCCTTTGCCATCATCTAGTCCTCCAGGCTGGCTTAACCAGATTTCATGGCCTCATTTTGTCCTCTGTTACTGTGATTTCTACTGCTCAGGAGAGGTATAACTATTTTTGAGTCATACATTTCAGGTTTTTTGAGTAGGCTGCGTACGTCCCAACACAGGGCTTGAACTCACGACTCCGAGATCAAGATCTGAGCTGAGATCAAGAGTCAGCCGCTTAAGCGACTGAGCCACCTAGGCACCCCACATTTTAGTTTTGAATTTGGTTACCTGCCTTGCTCCTTTATGGATTTTAGAAATTTCTCCATTGATTACGGCCCAAACTTACAGTAGGTGTCCCAGTGCAGTGTAGTGCTGCACTGGGTTGCTGTTTTTCCTTTAGCCCATAGTTGCTTTATCCATTCTCATTATAGATGAGGGACTTCCAAATCTGTTACCCTCTCCCTGCCCCAGCTTTTTTTTTTTTTTAAGTCGTTCTTATTTTTGTTTAACGTTTATTTATTTTTGAGAGAGAGAGCGTGTGTGCGGGAGAGGAGCAGAGAGAGAGAGAGAGACGCGGAATCCAAAGCAGGCTCCAGGCTCTGAGCTGTCAGCACAGAGCCTGGCTCAGGGCTCAAACTCATGGACCTACAGATCTTGACATGAGCGGAAGTCAGACACCTAACCGACTGAGCCACCCAGGCCCCCCCCCCCCCCCCCACCAGCTTGTTTATTATATTCAGGGCATTGTGGAAGAGTAGTACTGTGGTGAAGGAAATGCTCCTTAGATCTTCTGTCTCTAAATTCCTTGGGCAGACACTGGTTACCCATGCCTTTATTTCTGTAATGTTCATTTCAGCATTCCTGACCTCTGACTTCTGTTGCTAGAGCTGCTACTATGTAGGTAGGAGTGCTGTTGATTTTGGGGAAACAGACACAGGTAATTCTTCAATACGTTGTTTAATGTAGCATGATAAGTATGTTTTTAAGAATACACATGTAACCCAGAAGCACATTATAAAAGCAGTTGGTTCAGAGGTTAGGGGTTAGCTTCATAAAAAGTTATTTTTCCTAAAAGCATTTCAGTGTATTTAAGATATAACGAAACAAAACCTGAACAATACAGCCACTTATTTGGCTTATATTTAAGAGTAATGGCCTTTTACCACTATCACGAGCAATGTTATTAGCACAATACTTTGTATTATCATATTTATTACTCATTGTTTTGATAAATAGTGTGATAGCACTCGTAGCATCTGTGCTTCCAGCATCAGGT